TCACACACACACACTCACACACACTCACACACACTCACACACACACACACACTCATCCACACTCACACACACTCACACTCACACACACACTCATCCACACTCACACACACTCACACACACACACACACTCACACTCACACACACACTCACACTCACACACACTCACACTCACACTCCCACACACACTCACACTCACACACACACTCTCACACACTCACACACACTCACACTCACACTCACACACACACTCACACACACTCACACACACTCACACACACACACACACACTCACACTCACACACACTCACACTCACACTCCCACACACACTCACACACACACACACACACACACACACACACACTCACACTCACACACACACTCTCACACACACACTCACACACACACACACACACACTCTCACACACACACTCACACACTCACACTCACACACACACTCACACTCACACACACACACACTCTCACACACACACTCACACACACACTCACACACTCACACTCACACACACACTCACACTCACACACACACACACACTCCCGGTGAGTCAGCGCCTCTGGGAACAGTTAGGCGAACCGTTCATTTTCTAGAAGAATCCGCGGTGCGGGGAGCAGCCCTCGCCCATGCCCTCGGGAGGCAGGCTCCGAGCGAGGGCCACACTGAGCCACGGGGAGCCGGCGACCGGCCGGAGGGAGCCCAGGGCGGGAAGGGAGGCACCGGGTGGGCCAGGGAAGCGCGGTCACTGGGAGCTGAGCCCGGGGCGGGACCAGCCGCACGACGGAGGGGCTCAGGGCCAAACTAACGCATGGATGCCGTGTTCAGGAAGCACACACCAGGTGCCAACACAGGGACTCAGGTTCTAGGTTCGATTCCGGTCCAGGGCATGGACCTTGGATGCGGGCACATCCTCAGTGGGGCGTGTGCAAGAGGCAGCTGATCGATGATTCTCTCTCATCGATGTTTCCAACTCTCTATCCCTCTCTCTTCCTCTCTGTGAAAAATCAATAAAATGTATTTTTAAAAAGGAGAAGAAGGAAGCACAGAGGCGGTTACCCAAAAAATGACAGCGAGAAGGAGCAGCTGAGAAAGGAAAGCCCGCCCGCCGCAGCGAACAGCGCCCCCTCTCAGCCGCCGGGAGCCACGGCGGACACGGCGATTCAACGAGGCTCCGACCACAGAGCGGCGGCCACTGGACGTGGGGGCCGAGCCAGGGAGGGCGTGCGCCCGAGAGGAGCCGCGTCCACAGCGCGAGGGACTCTGTCTCTTCCCCCCACCCCCCGGCCCCCGAGGCCCCACAGAACCTGCCTGTTGGCTTCGCTGCCAGACAGCACTTGGCCAATTAATATTTATTTAAAACAAAACCAGCCCGGCCAGCTTCTCCCTCCCCCTGACCCCCTGGGCCATGTGGTCTCCATCCTAGCAGCTCCACTCTGCTGCACGCCGGTGTTTCAATAAAACTTTATTTACAACAGCGGACGGAGGGCCGGGTAAGGGCTGCAAATGGCCCGCTGCCGCTCACTCACCAGCCTATCGGGTGGCACTGGGGCCCGCCCCCTCGGTGAGGCCGGGAGACGCTCCCAGGGCCACCAAAAAACTCGACCGAGACCTGCACCCTCGCCAGCACCTTTAACAACAGCCTCAGGCCAGGGCCCGGGGAGCGGTGCCCGGGAAGAGGCAGGACCATATTAAGAGAAAAACCAGCCAAAGAATTCCCTTCCACCAGCTATGTTCCTGAACGGGAGCCAGAGCACACACGAGGGCAGGCGGCCGGGGCTGGTGGCCGAGCTGAGACGGGCACATTCCTAAGGGCCGTCTTCCTCTGCCCCATACTGCCCCCGCCACCCTGCCATCATCATCCTCTCTCCCACCATCATCCTCCCCCTCCCCCTCCCCCATCCTCCTCCCCCCCCCCCCCCGCCATCATCCTCTCCCCTCCATCACCCTCGCCCTCCCCATTCATCCTCCCCCTCCCCCATCATCATCCTCTCCCACCATCATCCTCCCCCTCCCCTGCCGTCGCGCTGGCCCGGCCTCCGGAAACATGGATTCCGGGCCCGGGTAGAAACACTGCAATGAACCCGGACGGCCACGGGGGTGGCACCTTTAGCCGATCTAAGGGCAGCCCGTGGGGCCAGGGAGAGAAAGGGAGCCCAGCACCCAGGATGCTGCTTCTGCCGGCCTGCCCTGAGTCCCCCTGCCCAGTACGCCTTCACCGGCTCAGCCAGCGCCCGCCTCCCTCCTGCCGAGCACAGGGTCCAGGTGGGGACCACGGTGGGGGGTGCCCCGCAGGCCACGCCCAGGCCCCGGGCTGCAGGGGGCGGGAGGCAGCGCGGCTGGAGCCTGAGCCGAGCAGACGGTGTTATCTGAGCCCCGGGCGCTGGCTTAGTCAGCCTGAACGGGTGCTGGCGGGAGGCCCGCTGAGTCACCCGCTCCCGTCCCGGCTCCGTGGGGGGGTCCCCGGGAGAACTCAGGGCAGATTCCCACACACATGCACCCGAGCCCCAGCCTTGCTCCCTCCCCCCACCCCCCGCAGCGGACACAGCACCCCCAGCTCCCCTTCTCCCACCAGCAGGTCTGGGGTGGCCGCTGGCCTGGGGCCGGGACTGACTGGGGCCAGGGAGGGGAGGAACTCCTCACAGCTCTTCCCAGTGTCCCCGCTGCTGGTGGCAGGGACGGCGCCCGGGACCCCCTCGCGCCCCCCCCCCCCCGGGTCCAGCCGGGCGCCATCACCCCAGGCCCCCCAGAGAGCCGGCTGGGACGTGGGCAGGAATGTGGGGGGGCCTGGCACCCTCCACCCATCTGAGCACCCACAGGGGCCGTGCCCTCCCCCCCACCCCTCCCTCCGAGTGGCGGGCTCTCCCAGGGGCCCTTCCACCCTCAGGGGTCCCAGCGGGAGCGGCAGCCAGTACCTGAGCCGGCAACAGGGAGGCATGCCTGTCCCAGAGGGTGCTGGGGGGTGGGGGGGGGGCTAAGCAGGGGAGGGGCACCCCCAGCCGGACCTCAGGGCCCTGCGGGAGTGACCAACCGGGAAGAACGGGGTGCAGGCTGTGCACAGACAGACCCGCCATCGGGGCCCGCCCTCATGGGGGTGGCGGGGGAGTGGGTGCCTTCCTCTGTGTCTGCGGCAGCACAGCTGTCAGAGCTCCGTCCCCTCGGCTCTTTTTAAAAATTACCAATGTCAGAGAGGAAGGGAGAGGGAGAGGGAGAAACTTCCACAATGAGAGAGCCACGGGCCGGCTGCCGCCTGCACGCCCCCACTGGCGATGGAGCCTGCTACCCGGGCCTGTGCCCCGACGGGAATCGAACCCTGACCTCCTGGTTCTAGGCCGACACTAACCACAGAGCCATGCAGGCCGGGCTCCCTCCTTATCCTCTTAGCTCATCCCGGCATCTCCGCCTGGTCCCGGCCCAAAGCAAACGCCTGTTCTCTCCGCTCCTCCCCCCCCGCCCCCTCAGCGGCAGACAGCCTGCCCTGGGACAGACGGACGTCTGCACACGGCGCGGCGGGCACAGGTGGGAACACTGCTCCAACGCTGAACTGGTTTGCCCTCCCGCTGCTGCCTGGTACTGAGCCTGCAGCCCCTCCTCCCCCACCCCCCCGGCCCCCCAAGCCAGCCCGGCCCCCCTAACGCCTGCCTCCCCCCCGCCCGGCCCCCCAGCCCGGCCCCTCCCAGCCCGGCCCCTCCGCCCACCCCCCCGCCCAGCCCCCCAGCCCGGCCCCCCCAGCCCGGCCCCCCCCAGCCCGGCCCCCCCAGCCTGGCCCCCCCAATGCCCGCCCCCCCCACCCAGCCCCTCCGCCCTCCCCCCTCTGCCCGCCCCCCCTGCCCAGCCCCCCGCCCGGTCCCCCAGCCCGGCCCCCCAGCCCAGCCCCCCAGGAGAGGGGCTCAGGGACCAGGCCGGGGGACCCTGTGGGGACCCTCCTCTGACTCCAGGGACCTGGGCCTCTCCCAGCAGCGAGCCTCATGCTCAGCCCCCAGACGGAGGGCGGACAGCAGTCAGGGTGAGGGACAGCCGCTGCAGCAGGAGCCAGGCCCCGGCTCCGCCGAGCTGGCTGCCGGCTCGCCGCCTGCCTGGACCGGCCAGATGCCCCTGCAACGCCCACTGGCTCCAAATCAGAGCGCTGTCCCGGCGGAGGGAGCAGGGACGTGGCCCCACGTGTCCCAGCGGGAGCTGCCCGGTGGCGCAGCGCCCAGGCCACGCCCAGGCCACGCCCAGGCGCCACGGCGGTGCCACGGGCTCGGTGGCCTGAGGGTCCGGGGGAGGGGCCGCGGTGCCTTTCTGACGAGGTGCCCCCACCGGGCGCCCTGCCTTCCCGCCGGCTGCTACATCCCGGGCACCCGCCGGCCAGGGCTGAGCACTGACCTAGGAACCAGGAGGTCAGGGTTCGAGTCCCGGTCGGGCCACAGGCACAGGTGGAGGGCTCCACCCCCCGTGTGGGGCGTGCAGGGGGCAGCCATGGATGATTCTCTCTCACGGATTTTCTCTCTCCCTCGCCCTTCCTCACGGACATCAATAAACACACACGTACGCATTTAAAACAAACCAAGACCTCTCGGATCGGGTCGCCTGCTTCTAACGGAAGCCTCCATGAGACCCCGTCCCCCGCCCCCCGCCCCCCAGGGCCGCACTCCGCGCCCCCACACCCGCCCTCGGCCCAGACCGGACGTCCGCCAGCAACGCGGCTCTGGGGGCGCCCGGGCCCCCGGCCACTCTGGGCTAACGGGGGGCCCTGGCCGCTCTGGGCTGATGGGGGTCCCCCCACCCCCGGGCCCCCGGCCACCCCGGGCTGACAGCCCCCCACCCCCCGGTCCCCGGCCGCCCCGGGCTGACGGCCCCCCACCCCCGGGCCCCCGGCCGCCCCGGGCTGACGGCCCCCCACCCCCCGGTCCCCGGCCGCCCCGGGCTGACGGCCCCCCACCCCCGGGCCCCCGGCCGCCCCGGGCTGACGGGGGCCGCCCCGGCCGGGGCCGCGGGGAGACTGACCTCGTGGTCCACCTTGATGAGGGCGATGTCGGCCTTCTCGTCCACGTCCTTGATCTTGGCCTCGTAGGTGGCGCCGTCCTTCAGCTCCACCTTCACCCGGTGCTTGTTGGTCACCACGTGGGCGTTGGTGACGATGAGCCCGTCCTCCGACACGATGAAGCCCGAGCCACTGGCCACCGGCACCTCCCGCTTGGAGAAGGGCAGCCTGGGACGGACCAGCGCCTGAGCGGACGCACGCCGCTGGGACCCGGGCCTCAGAGGCTGCGTCCGGCCGGCGGCTCAGTGTTAGAGCCTCGGCCGGGCACCAGGACCCCGGGCCCGGCTCCGGGACGGGGTGGCCGGCTCCTCCCAGCCGCCGGGGTGCGTGTGTGCGGGAGGCAACCCTCCGGGCGTCTCTCCCACATCCGTGTCTCCACGTCCCTGCTCCCTCCTGCCTCTTCCCACCTCTCCCTCTAACAGCCAGTGAGAAAAGCATCAACGAGGATTAGAGGGAGGGAGGGAGGGAGGGGGAGGCGGGACGCGAGGCCCGTGGTCGGCAAACTGCGGCTCCTGAGCCAGCGCGCCGTTGACTAAGTTGACTAATGAGTTTGCCGACCACTGCCTTAGGGAAGACACTTAAAAAGTTAATGATGCACCAATGTCTTCAACCTGAAGTCAGACTTCGGGTGAGGGTTCTGCCTTACGCAGGGGTCGGCAAACTCATTAGTCAACAGAGCAGCAAACCACGGCTCGAGAGCCGCAGTCCGCCGACCGCTGCGCAGGCCGACTTTTACAGCCCGCTCCCTGCCGGTGCTCGGCGGGCAGAGCGTCAGGCAGGGGACTGAAGGGTCCGGGTTCGGCACATATCTCGGTCAAGGGCACATATCTCAGTGCAGCCGCCTCCCCGGCCGGACCCTGGTTGGGGCGCCTGCCGGCGGGAACTGTGGCCGTTTCTCTCACCGTGTTTCTGTCTTTGCCCCTCTCTCCACGCCCTCTGAGAATCCACAGACAAAACTGATTCCCCATGGAGCTTCCCGTCCGGAATCTCTCTGAGCCCGAGTCCCTCACTCCCTCCAGAGGGCTGGGGGCGAGGCGGCAGGCCCGGGGTGCAGGGGTGGGGGAGGGGGCAGCAAGTCTGGGGTGCAGGAATGGGGTGGGGGTGGCAGGTCCAGGGTGCAGGGCTGGGGAGGGGGCGGCAGATCCGGGGTGCGGGGGTGGGGGAGGGGGCGGCAGGCCCGGGGTGCAGGGCCGGGGAGGGGGTGGCAGGCCCGGGTGCGGGTGCAGACTGTGGTACGGGACAGGGTGCAGGGCCAGGGAGGGGGCAGGCCCGGGTGCGGGGTGGGGAGGGGGGCAGGCCCGGGTGCGGGTGCAGACTGTGGCCGGGGAGGGGGGCAGGCCCGGGTGCGGGGTGGTAGAGGGGGGCAGGCCCGGGTGCGGGTGCAGACTGTGGTACAGGATGCGGGGGTGGGGGAGGGTGCGGCAGGCCCGGGTGCGGGTGCAGACTGTGGCCGGGGAGGGGGCAGGCCCGGGTGCGGGGTGGGGAGGGGGCAGGCCCGGGTGCGGGGCAGACTGTGGCCGGGGCGGGGCCCGGGGTGCAGGGGTGGGGGACTGTGGTACGGGACAGGGTGCAGGGCCAGGGAGGGGGGCAGACTGTGGCCGGGGCCGGCCCGGGACGGCTCTCACTTGCGGAACAGCTCGATGTGCACGACGGCGGGCGCGATCCTCTCCACCACGTCTGCGATGAAGTTGTATTTGTGGCGCAGACTGTTGGGGTCGTCCTGCCCTGGGACCGTGCGGAGGGCGACAGTCAGCGTGGGGCTGGGACCCGCTCAGCGCCCGCTCCCGCCCCGCCCCGGCCTCCGGGACCAGCGCCCCGCACGCCCCGGCCTCCGTGCCGGTGAGGGGCCCGGCCACGGCTCTGAGCCCTTCGCTGAGGAGGGTGGCCCCTTCCCCTGAGCGGAGCTGCTCCTGTGAGCGAGATGTCCGGGTGCAGAGTGATTCCTGCAGCTTCCGGGCAGGACAAAGCCCCCAGGCTCCTGCCGGCACCCGCTCCAGCCCCCTTCCTCTCCGGTCCGGTGCCCCCGCCCCTCGTTCCCGCGGCCCAGGGGCTGCAGTCAGGCATCGCCCAGGTTACGCTCGGAAAGCAGGGGGTCCCAGGTGGTGCCCCCATGGGCACGCAGCGCCTTCACGGTGAGAACAGTACCAGGCATCGCACCCGCACTGAGCACTGACTCTGAGCGCGCGCGCACACACACACACACACACCCCGGCCGCCCAGGTCCGGGCTGTGCTGGAGGGGGGGTGGTCTCCCTGAGCCCCCAGCCGGAGAAATCAACCAGGGGGACGTCCTCGGCTCAGGCCCAGCCCGGGCCCGGCCGGAGCAGCCTGCGGTGTCCTCGGCCCCGGCTCCGGGGAGGGGCCGGGCCGTCTCCCCCACCAGACCAGCGCCCCAGGAGGGCCCTGAGCCCCTGCAGACGGAGGATCACAGACCCTGCGCCCAGGACCGCCAACCGGCTCCTCTGACAACGAGGCGTCAGAGCAGGGAGACCCGGAACTTTCCAGCAGAAAGAACTGCCGTTTCCCACACAAACCGGAGGGGTGCTCGGCCTGCCCCCTCCCTCCTCAGCAGCAGCACGGGGCGCGGGCGGACGGGGCCTGGGCATGGGAAACACGGTCCATCCCCGGCCGGCCGGCGGCCTCGGTGCCCCGTCTGTGTAACAGGCCGGCTGCCTCCAGCCTGAGCCCACGGTCTGTCCCAGCTCCAACATCCCAGGAGCGACCCCCCTGTCCCCTCGGAGAGGATTTCCCATAGACATCCTCTGAGGTGGCCCAGTTCCCCGAATCCTGCAGACGGTCACCAGAGAGCAGCGGCCGGGAGCGCACGGCCCCGAAAAGCCCGGCAGACAGGCCTCCGTGGGGCGGCTCAGGGGTGAGCGCCGACCTAGGAGCCAGGAGGTCAGGGCTCGATTCCCGTCAGGGCCCACGCCCGGGTTGCAGGCTCCATCCCCAGTGGCGGGCGTGCGGGAGGCAGCCGGTCCGCGGTTCCCTCTCATCACTGGTGTTTCTGTCTCTCTCTCCCTCCCTGCCTCTCTGATGTCCATAGAAACCTTCGTAAAGAGAGAAAATAAAGCAAGCAGCCACGACCTCATGGCATCGCGTGGAGGACCCGGGAAACACCGGCTCCCAGACGGGCAGACGGCGGGCCCGGCCCCGCACGCAGCAGCAGGACAGGACTGCAGCGTCCCAGAGTCCGGCTCCGGCACCGCCTGAGGCCGCCCCTCAAACCGAGGGAGCGGCCGTGGCCTGAGGCCTTCAGACACGCTGGCCACCCCCTCCTCCGGAGGGCCAGCGAGGGGAGAACCCCAGCAGGACCACAGGCCCGGCGAGCGCTCGGGGCTCTGGAGAGCCAGGCGCGTGTCCACGGCCTGTGGGAGCGGAGAGGCAGGAGGAGAGAACCGGGCGGCGGCAGGCAGCGGCCTCGGACACAGAGTCTGAAAAGCCGGGACCGCGGGGAGGGAGCCCGGCACCCGAGACCGACTGCCCGCCGCCATCAACAGCCCTCGCTGGGCGTCACACACAGGCGACCCGGAGCAGCCGGCACTTCCGTCGCTTAGAGCGGTGACCTCGGCGGGACTCCGGCCAGCGGGGACGACCGGCTCCCCGTCCGCACGAGGAGCGGCGAGTCCGGCGCCCGCCCGCCACGCCTCCCGGAGCCCTCGCCCCGGAACTGAGAGAGAAAACTTCCCACCGTTCCAACAACGTCCTCACGGGAGGGACACACGCACGCACGCGCACACACACCTATACACACGCATGCACACACATATACACACGCACATACACACGCACGCACGTGCACACACATATGCACACACATGCACACGTATGCACACACATATACACACGCATGCACACACATATACACACGCACATACACACGCACGCACGTGCACACACATATATACACACGCACACACATATGCACACACGTGCACACATATGCACACAAACATACATGCACACACATATACACACGCATGCACACACACACATACAGAGTGTTGATACGTTTCCACAATTACTGTCTAGGCCGGCGACATGGCTCAGAGTCTGAGCATCGACTTGTGAACCAGGTCAGGGCACAGGCCCAGGCTTCGGGCTCCATCCCCAGAGGGGGGCGTGCAGGAGGCAGCTGATCCACGATTCTCTTCCTCAGGGACGTTTCTATTCCTCTCTCTCCCTCTCCCTTCCTCTCTGGAATCCATAGGGTTGTTTTTTTGTGTGTTTTTTTTTAATTAAAAAGTTCTCGGCAGAATTAGAATCCCAGCACCGCCAGGACGAGAGCAGCAGAGGGGGGACCCGTGTGTCCTGGTGCCCGGCGGGCGCTCCGCTCGGCATCCGGCCTCCCGTCCAGGTCGCGGCCCGGCCTCGGCCCCGCGTCCGGCGGAGAGCCAGGCCGGGCTCCGGCGAACAGCCAGCCCTCGCTCTCGGCGAGAACAATCGCGCAACCCAATTCCTCGCCGGGTGACGGGAACCAGATCTGGAAACAGGACGCAGTGTGTCCGAGGGGAGAGGGATGAATCCTCCTTTATTCTGCGGAACGGCCTGTTCCCAAAATTCAGATCAGCTGCCGCCGGCGGGCCGGGCCTGGCACCCGTGCCCTGACCCAGTTCACAGAGCCGAGCACCCGGCGGAGCGTGCCCCAGCTCAAGTCCATCAGGAGCCCCGCGGCCCGCAGCGGGGCGAGCGTGGGCCCGGGGCCACCCCGTGATGCTGCCGGCCTGCGGGCCTTGCTTGTGTGATCTGAAACCAGGGGGCAGCCTGGCAGGCCGGGCTCGGCTGGGTGGGCATCGTCCGGTGCACCGTTGGGGAGGACACCAGTGGCCCGAGGGCCCTGGAAGGCACTGGCCTGATGGTCTTAAGGAACAGTCCCCCCAGCCCAGCGGCACTTCCTGTTCCCACGGGCTGCTCACCAAGAGCGACCGCGTCCCAGACCAGAAAACCAGTGTCAGACCAGAAGCCAGAGGAGGCTGCCCTGGGCCAGCAGGAGGCGGAGCCAGGGATCAGTGACAGGTGGAGGGGCGGGGGATGCCCGGACAGAGGAGGCTAAACCACTGAAAGAAGCCCCCAGAGGAGCCTGAGCGGAGACCACGAGGGCGGGGCCGGCCCTGCCTCCCCGCGGGCCGGGGGCAGTGTCCCCTCTCAGAGCTCCGTCCCACCCATCCAGGAGGGCGATGGCGAGAGCAGGGCGGCAGGGCCGGCGGGGCTCCGGGACCTGACACCCTGCCGTACAGGAAATCTAGGAACCAGGAGGTCAGGGTCCGATTCCCGGGCAGGAGCCGGGGTTGTGGGCTCCATCCCCAATAGGGGGCATGCAGGAGGTGGCCGATTGGTGTTCCTATCTCTCTATCCCTTTCCCTTCCTCTCTCTCTCTAAAAAAAAAAAAAATCAATAAAAATGTACTAAATAGCCGGGACCGGTTTGGCTCAGTGGTAGAGCGTCGGCCTGCAGACTGAAAGGTCCCGGGTTCGATTCCGGTCAAGGGCATGTACCGTGGTTGCGGGCACATCCCCAGTAGGGGGTGTGCAAGAGGCAGCTAATCGATGATTCTCTCTCATCGATGTTTCTAACTCTCTATCCTTCTCTCCTCCTCTCTGTGAAAAATCAATAAAATATATTTAAAAAAAAAAAAAATGTACTAAATAAAAGAAGAACAAGGCAGGCCCAGGGCCCAGCCAGCACCGGGCACGCCTCCCAGAAGCACCCAAGGGAGGCAGCTCTCCAGCCTTGTTCTGTGGAGGCTGAGCTGGTGGCCTGAGCCCGGAGCCCTGACCCCACAGCCCGCAGCCCGCAGCCCAGATTCTGGAGCCCGGAGCCCGGAGCCCTGACCCCACAGCCGGCAGCCTGGAGCCTGCAGCCTGGAGCCCACCTGGAGCCCGGAGCCCTGACCCTACAGCCCGGAGCCTGCAGCCCGGAGCCCACCTGGAGCCCAGAGCCCTGACCCTACAGCCCGCAGCCTGCAGCCCGGATTCTGGAGCCAGGAGCCCGGATTCTGGAGCCCTGCCCTCTCCGGCCTCTGGTCAGCAGAGCCTGTGCCAGTGAGAGGCCTGTGGCTGCCGAATGCCGAGCCTCCCTCCTCGGCACCAGCTGGCAGCCTGGGCCGGCAGGGCCCTCCTGTCTCCCGGCCCCCGCGGCGCCTGCCCCTGGGAATGCTGGCACTGAGAGGGGCTCCCCGGTCACGGGGCGAGCTGACAGCTGCCGGATGACCGGGGCCATCGTCCTGAAGCCACGGACGGGGAGCCCCGGGCAGGTCGCCGAACCCTAGAAGGCTGGCTCAGCACAGGCCGGCCTCCAGACCCGACTGCACAGCTGGTGACGACAAGCCTCCCTCCCCACCCACCAGCCGCGCTGCACGAGGGGCTGACTCACCCTCGAGCTTGGAAACCTCGGGCCGGCCGCCGCCGAGCGGGCCCAGCATGCGGTGGGGGACGTGACCGCCGGGCGGGGGACGTGGCGGGGGACGTGACCGCCGGGGCGAGGGCCAGCTGTGCGGAGCGAGCCCAGCATGCAGCGGGGACCTGACTGCCGGGCGGGGGCTGGGCTGCCAGACTCGGAGAAGCCTCTGCACAAAATGTGCTTATGTGACAACTTGTCTAGGAATCCGACTCCGCGAGCATCTGCACGCCCACGTGCTTCCCTCCCTGGGCGTGACGAGCCTCTCGGCGAGGGCTTCCCTGCGCGAGGCTGCCAAGCAGCCGCTTCCCACGGCCCGGCTCCCCCGGCTCCGAGCCTCCCGGACGCCGGGGAAGGCGGACGCCCAGGCAGCCCAGACTCAGGTCCTCGTTCAGGACAAGTCACAGCCCGACTGGCAGGCTCAGCAGCTGAGCCTCAACCCAGGACCCAGGAGGTCACGGCTGGATTCCCGGTCGGGGCACAGGCCCGGGTTGTAGGCTCCATCCCTGTGGGGGGCCTGCAGGAGGCAGCCAGTCCGTGATTCTCTCATCATTGATGCTTAAATCTCCCTCTCCCTTCCTCTCCCTGAAATCAATAAAAACATGTTTTAAATATATTTTTAGCAAACGATTGGAATGGCTGCACATCTCAGTTTCTCTTCCGTTTTCCTTTCCCCCTTCCCAGCGGCAGGCAGGAGACAGGTGAGGGACTCAGTAGGGACCTCACTCCTGGTCCCCGGGAGGCGGCCAGGGGGCGGCAGCGAGGCCCTGCTGTGCTCCTCCAGGGACCCCGCAGCCACACACGCTGAACGAAGCCCCAGGCCACGTGCCTTTAATGACAGCCCTGGCTCTACCCGCCCCTTCAGAAGGAAGTGAGCTTTTCAGGAAGCCAGCCGCCTCCGGAGACGGCTCCGTCTTGCGGGAAGGGCCTCCTGAGGGGTCGGAGGCCGGCCGCCTGGGCAAGTGACAGCCAGGAGGCGCCAGAGCCCGCTAGCCGCCGGCCACCACCCAGCCCTGCCCAGCCCGACTGCTCCTCCAGATGGAGCTGCCAGAGCTCTGGGTTGGCTGAGAGCACACGCTCCTGGACAGTCTGATGGCTCGTCCCCGGCACACACTGCGACCAGGCCCCACAGCGCGGCCGGCCCCCGCAGGCCTGGCCATCGCGTCCGCCACATGAGCTCAGGCCCCGTCACCGCTCCCCGAGGGAGTCACTTTTTAATGTGTTTTTATTGACTTAGAGGAAAGGAGACCGTCAACGATGAGAGAATCACGGACCAGCTGCCTCCTGCACGCCCCCTCCTGGGGATGGAGCCCACGGCCCAGGCCTGTGTCCGACCGGGAATCCAGCCGTGACCTCCTGACTCATAGGTGGACACAGCCACGGAGCCACGCCGGCTGCCGGGCAGCGTGCTCCCTTCTGAAGGGCGACACAGTGCACCGCCCAGGGACCCCGCACGCCTCCCGAACACGGCTGCCACCCAGGGGCCTCCCGGGCTGCCCCGCCTCCGTCCTCCCTCTCCGCTCCCCCCGCCCCTCAGGATCCCAGACGGAAACCTGGGCCCTCGGTCCCGGAGGCTCTGTCCTCCTCCCCATGCGGCTCCCCCCACCCCAGCCTCTGTCCGGCGGCTCCTCCTCCAGAGGCTCCTCCTCCAGAGGCTCCTTCCCTCCCCTACTCCTCCCCTCCACCTCACACACTCACACTCATACAATCACACTCACACACACTCACACACTCACACACACACTCACACTCACACACACTCACACACACTCACACACACTCATACACACTCACACACACACACTCACACTCATACAATCACTCACACACACTCACACACACACTCACACACACACTCATACACACTCACACACACACACACACACACACACACTCACACACTCACACACACACACTCACACTCACACACACACACACACACTCACATACACTCACACACACACTCACACACTCACACACACACACACACTCACACACACACACACACTCACACACACTCACACACACACACACTCACACACACACTCACACACACTCACACACACACACTCACACACACACACACACACACTCACATACACTCACACACACACTCACACACACTCACACACACACTCACACACTCACACACACACTCACACACACTCACACACACACACACACACTCACACGCACTCACACACTCACACTCCCTCCCTCCCTCCCTTCCTTCCTGGCTGGCCCGTGCACAGTGCCTCCGGAGCCGGCAGGCGGCGGCCGCACAGGTGCAGGCACACTGCGTGCGGAGCTCCAGCACATTCCCAGGGAGAGGGAGGGGGACACGCCACACGCCTGCCTCTCCGCCTCCTCCAGCCCCGGGGCACCTTCCCCAGGAGCCTGCTGAGGCCTCAGGCGGCCTCCCACCCCACCCGCGGCTGTGGCCCGGCCTGGGCAGCTAAAGGATCCACCTCCCGGCCATCAGCCAGGGCCTGAGGGGCCGGTTCCTCAGAGCCGGCGCAGTGAGACCACAGCCGTCACGGCCACGGCCTCGGCCACGGCCACGGCCACGGCCACGGCCGCACCGTGTGGACAGAAACAGGCCCTGTGCTCGCTAAGCTGTCACCTCACCCCAATGCTTCAGCAGCTCCGGTCTGCGCCCGGGTGTGCAGGCGTCCCCTGCCGGGCACACCCCGCCGAGCACACCCCGCCTGGCACACCCCCACCAGGCACACCCCGCCGGGCACACCCCCGGCCTGGCCTCCTGTGAGCCGCTCTGGCTCCGAACGGCCGCACACACCGCTCGGCCCGACCTCTCCCCGAGGCCTGGCCAGCAGCTGGTCCCTCTCGCCACCTCCTCACTCGCCCTGTTGTCGGTCTCTGCACCGCTCTGTGCAGGCTCTGCCCGGCGGCCGCCTGCTCCGGCTGGTGCACTCCCCAGCCTTCTGGAAACTTCCCGTCCTGCCCCGCGCCTCCCGCTCCGGCTGCGTAAGGCTGTCTGGGCTGGTGGCCTCGGCAGGCGTCAGCCTCAGACCTCGAGCGCCCGGCATGCAGCCTCGTCCCCCTCAGGCTGAGGCCGCCTGCGGGCCCAGAGCGAGCCGGCACGCGGACGGGCGCAGGGTGGGCACCGCAGGCGAGCGTCCCTGCAGGCCACCGCTGCGGTGGGCACCGGCCCTGGGGAAGAGGCCCGGGCCTCCTGCAGCCACCGCAGGGACATCCCCCGAAAACCAGACAGCCCGGGCCCCGCCCCTCCCTGCACTGCCCGGCCGCAGCCGGCACGGCCAAGCCCAGGCCGTCCATCCCCACAAGGCTGCCCTGGCCCAGCGGACCTGCAGCTTTCCACCCGTCTCCGTCCGGAGGGAAGCCTCGCTCTGGGAGGCAGAGAGGGACAGACAGACTGCCCTCAGCCCCCTGGAAGGTGTGCTGACAGGAGGATGTGTGAGCGGACGCCTCCTCTCTGCCTCCCCTCCCCACTTCCTGGCCCGGAGGCCGGGAGGCTGGGCCGGCCGGGGCGCATCTGGGGAGACCTGGGCGCTTCCTTCCAGATGAAAAGGCACGGAAGCTGCCCCGCAGGACCCGGGTCAGGGAACGGGGCTCGTTGTAAGGGGTTGGGGCCAGAGGAGTCCAAGGGGAGAGCCAGACATGACCCTCATGGTCCCAGCACCGGCTTCCTGCCAGGCGGCGTGCACCTCCCGTCCCAGGACCCGACTGCCGGTGCCCCTTCCTGCTGTCCCTCGGGCCCAGCGCTGGGTGGCGCTCCCAGAGCACCCCGAAGCCCCTCCAGGGGGCCCTGTCCCGGGACCAGGACCCCGCGCGCTGCCCACTGCGCACAGAACCACAGGCCCGTCCAGACCGAGGGGCGCCGGGCTGTCTCCCAGCGAGGGGTGCCCCCCGTGGGGCGCCCTCTTTCTCTGGATGCCCTCCTTGGGGCGCCCGCCTCGGGGTGCCCTCCCTTGGGGGGAGCCTCCTCGGGGTGCCTGTGGGGGGAGCCCTCCTCGGGGCGCCTTCCTCGGGGTGCCTGTGGGGGGAGCCCGCCTCGGGGTGCCTGTGGGGGGAGCCTCCTCGGGGTGCCCTCCTTGGGGTGCCTGGTCGGGGAAGCCCTCCTCGGGGTGTCTGTGGGGGGAGCCTCCTCGGGGTGCCCGCCTTGGGGTGCCTGTGGGGGGAGCCCTCCTCGGGGTGCCCGGTCGGGGGAGCCCTCCTCGGGGCGCCTGTGGGGGAGCCTCCTCGGGGTGCCTGTGGGGGAGCCTCCTCGGGGCGCCTGTGGGGGAGCCTCCTCGGGTGCCCGGTCGGGGGAGCCCGCCTCGGGGTGCGGGGGGGGGGTACCTGGGCCGCAGGCTCCGCGCTGCAGCAGGAGCACGGGCGGGCGCTGCAGGCTCTGGGCGCGGCGGGCGGCGGCGCGCAGCTGGCACTCGGAGGCGTAGGTGACGGCGTCGCTGCCGCACACGGGCTCGGGGCGGGCGCACTCGCACAGCCCGGGCGCCGCGCGCCGCCGCACCGTGGCCGAGGCGGGCACCCCGCGGGGCACCACGCAGCGCAGCCCCTCGCCGCACGGCGGCCCCTGCGCCCCGCACTCGGCGCCCTCGGCCGCCCCGCACACCTCGCAGCAGCCGCAGGCGTCCCGCACCCGGCCGGCCGGGCAGGGCCCGGGCTCGGGGCAGCGGGCGGGCTCGCAGCGCGCGGGGCAGCCGGCGGGCGGCTGGGCCCGGGCGGGCGCCGCGAGCAGCAGCAGCGGCAGCAGCAGGGGCAGCGCGGGCTGCATGGCGGCCGGTCCGTGGTCCGTCCGACGGGCAGAGGCTGAGGCCCAGGAGCCGGGGCAGGAGCGAGCGGAGCGGCCTCTGCGCGGGGCGCCGGGCACTGGATGGGCCGGGCGGGCAGGGCGCCGGGAGGGCGGGCCGGCGGGCCGGCCGGGGCGGGGGCTGGATGGACGCCCGAGGGGGCCGGGCGGGGCTGCTTCCTGGTCCTCGGCCGCTCGCTCTCCTGAGGGTCCCCTTGGCGGCTCTGAAACCGGGAGACTGCGGAGGGCGCCCCGGAGCGGGAAGTCCCCGCAGGGGCCCTGCTGCCGAGGGCCGGGCCCTCCGTCAGCAGATGGGGAGGCAGCCGGAGCGGTCAGAGCCAGACCTCCGGGCCCTCCCTGAGCTGAGCCGGCAGGAAGGAGCAGGCGGGCCAGGGCTGGGCGGGTGGAGGGGGTGAAAGGAGGTGAGGGGGAGGGGGAGGGGGAGGGGGCAGAGGGGTGGTCCTCACCCTCAGGGTGATTTGTTGTTGATAAATCGGCTCCGTGAGTGTTTGGTGCCGGGGGACAGACTGAGTCAGGAGGGCTGAGGCGACCTTGGAGGCCCGAACTGGGTGGTCAGGCCCGGCCCCATGGCAGGTGGACCAAGCCCCACGGGGTCCCCGTGAAGCACACGGAGGAGCCTGAACCGGGTTGGCTCAGTGGATAGAGCATCGGCCTGCGGACAGAAGAGTCCCGGGTTCGATTCCGGTCAAGGGCATGTACTTTGGTTGCGGGCGTGCAGGAGGCAGCTGATCGATGCTTCTGTCTCATCATAGATGTTTCTTACTTTCTATCCCTCTCCCTTCCTCTGTGTAAAAAATCAATAAAATATATTTAAAAAACAAAAACAAAAACAAAGAGGGAGATGAGAGGAACCTGGCGCCTGTCTGTTGTCCATCTCTGCCCTGACACCTCCACGGCCAGAGCAGTGCTGCTGGTTCCCACCGGTTTGTACGGACGCCAGAGAGGAAGGGAGAGGGAGAGAGAGAAGCCTCGATGATGAGAATCGTGCACCGGCTGCCTCCTGCACGCCCCCCACTGGGGACGGAGCCACAACCTGGGCCTGGGTCCTGACCGGGAACGAACTGGGATCTTCTGGCTCATAGGTCGGCGCTCACCACTGAGCCCCGCAGCCGGCTGCAGCCTGTTTCTGGGCAGCAGGGCTGAGGTGAGGCCTCACGGGGTAGGCGCTGCTGAACTGCTGGCCTGGGGCCCCTCTGGGTGACAGGACTCAGTCAGCGTGTCCCCGTTCCCGTTCCTTCTCTGCTCTCACTGGGGGGTCATGGGGTGGGGCCAGGCTCGGGCGCTCCTGCAGAGACAGACCCAGGGCAAGTCTGGGGCGGGGGTGGGAGCTGAGGCCAGAGGGTGGGACAGAGGGACCCCCTGCTCGCCTATGCTGCGCACAGAGGGACTCGGGGGCGTCCGGAGGGGACAGGGTCAGATCCTGCCGGTCCCTCCTGGGCCACGGCCGGTCGGGGTGGAGAAGGTGCCAAGCTGGGGCAGAGGCTGGACGCAGGGACGCAGGTGCTGCCGCCAGCTCAGGCCGGGGGGAAGTCATTGCTTACGTCCCACTGAGGTGCGGGGGCTGGAACCCCCCAGAACTCGGCTCCCAAAGCCGATGACCAAAGGGGGGCATTCTCCCTGGTCACTGCCCCCCCGGCCACTGCCCCCCGTCACTGCCCCACGTCACTGCCCACCGTCACTGCCCCCCGGTCACTGCCCCCCTCCGTCACTGCCCCCCGGTCACTGCTCCCCGGTCACTGCCCTCCCGTCACTGCCCCCCCGTCACTGCCCGTCACTGCCCCCCGTCACTGCCCCCCGTCACTGCCCCCCGGTCACTGCCCCCCGTCACTGTCCCCCCCGTCACTGTCCCCCACAAGAAGAGGGGTCCGTGGTCCTGCTGCCCGAGCCTCGCCCTGAGCCGTGCACCGCGGACACGGCGCCGACGGAACCTGGTTCAGTGCCGTGGATGACGGGCCGGACCGGTCAGCGCCGGCTGCGGGCGGGCGGGGCGCTGTTGTGTCTAAGGAAGATGCTGGAGGTCAGAGGTGCACGTCCGTCACGTCTCGTTTTGTTCCGGTGGTTTCCGTGGCGGAGAGGGCGTGGGCAGGTGTGGCTGAGACGTGGGGACACGGGGTCACGGGTCAATGAGGGTTTAGACGTAAAATGATTTCAAAGTTAAAAACAAACAACTATTTAAAGGAAAAATGAGGCCTGGCCAGTGTGACTCATTGGTCGAGCGTTGTCCTCGCACCGAAATGTCGCCGATTCCTGGCTGGGGTGTGTGTGCGGCAACTGACCATTGTTCCTCTCTCCCTCTCCCTCTCTCCTTCTCTCCCTCTCTCCCTCTCTCCCTCTCTACCTCTCCCTCTCCTCTCTCCCTCTCTCCCTCTGTCTTTCCCTCTCTCCTTCTCTCCCTCTCTCCCTTTCTCCCTCACTCCCTCTCTCCCTCTCCTCTCTCCCTCTCTCCCTCTCTCTTTCACTCCCTCTCTCCCTCTTTTCCTCTCTCCGTCTTTTCCTCACTCCCTCACTCTTTCTCTCCCTCTCTCCCTCTCTCCCTCGCCTCTCTCCCTCCCCTCTCTCCCTCTCTCCCTCTCTCTCTCTCTTCTCTCTCCTTCTCTCTCTCTCCCTCTCTCCCTCTCTCCCTCACTCCTTCACTCCCTCTCTCTCTCCCCCTCACTCCCTGTCTCCTTCAATCCCTCTCTCCCTCACTCTCTCTCTCTCTCTCTAAAAAGGAAAATCAATTTTAAAATCTTTAATGATTATAGTATTTTTTAAAGGAAAAAATACCCTATCAATGAGTCAAAAACAGAGGAACCGGAAAGGCCCCCTGGGCCATGTGACCCCTCAGGGAGAGGGCCGGGCTGGACCATGTGACCTGGACCACATGACCCCCAGGGAAAAGGGTCACGTGATCCGTCACCAACAAAGCAGGACCACAACCAGACACCACTTCACCCCAGTCTCTGGCCAGAAGTGCAGCCCAGGGGACGGGCAGAGATGCCAGGGCGGGGAGAGGGGACGTGGTGTGGCCACTTCGGACAACGGTCTGGCCGGTCCTCAAACAGCCACCGGGCACCCAGCAGGCCACGCTCCGCACGAGAGCACTCAGAACCTGCCAGGCGCAAAGCGGCGTTCCCCGAAGCGGGAAGGCCCCAGGCCCGTGGCCGAGCCGTCTCTGCAGCGGCTGCTCCTCAGCCGGGAAGGCGGACGCACCCACACTGCCCAGCATGGCGGCCTCGGACACTCACCTCAGAGAGAGGAGCCGGGCACAGAGGCCACAGGACGCGACTTCATTCACACAAAATGTCCGGAACTGGGGATTTACACACACACGCACACACACACACGCACACACACACACACGCACACGCACGCACACACACACGCGCGCACGCATGCACACACGGAGGGAGAGAGAGAAAGAGGGCTGGGTGAGGGCAGAGGCATCGCACAGGGAGGGGTCTTTTTAAGGTGTGAAATGTTTTTAAATTGATGTGGTGATGGTTACATGTATTTTTGGCACACAAAGACCTTCCCATGCGTACACTTCCACGGTGAATTGCACGGTATTTGAATTCCATCTCCGTTTAAAAAACAACACAAACCCCAGGGGGGCAGCTGGACACCTGGTGCCAGGGTCTCGGGGCCCCAGGCCCAGAGCCGCGGGCTGAGCCACAGGAGGCCGGGACCGTGGTGGCGTCATGTGGCTCCGTGTTTACACGCCTGTAGTTCCCGGGCCAGGGCGGCTCCTGAGACACCAGCCCTTCACCCAGCCAGTCTGTTCCACGCAGCCCAGGGGCTGGGCGTGGCCAAGCCCGGAGCAGCTGCCACTGTGCCACCCCCGCAGCCGGCGGGCACCAGTAAGAGGCTCTGCGGCAGCGAGCACAGCTCTGAGGCCAACCCATGTTTATCTTGATTTTTATTTCCTTTCTTCCCTGAAATGGGTTCCATTTTTTTAAAACATAGTTTTATTGGTTTCAGAGAGGAAGGAAGAGGGAGAGAGAGTCAGAAACATCACGATGAGAGAGAATCATGGATCGGCTGCCTCCTGCACACCCACTACTGGGGATGGAGCTTGCGGCCCGGACATGTGCCCCTGACCGGGAATCGAACCTGGGACCCTTCCGTCTGCAGGCCAACGCTCTGTCCACTGAGCCTCACCAGCTAGGGCTCGGTTCCATCTGTTATGGGACCTCTCAGCACTCTAGCCGGGCCTTCTCCCTGAGGGGTCAGGTTAGGGTGTGGTCTCTGCCTCGGGGGGAGGGCTCGGTGCTAGGCTCCGGAGGGCCTCTGGTGCGGAGCCAGGGCCAGAGGGGGTCCTGCGGGGGCCGGTCAGGTGGGTGGGGCTGGTTTCTCCTTGTGGGGGCCTGGGGCTAACCCCCCAGGGGCCTGGGTGTTGTCTCTGTGGCCCAGGCCCCCGGGGCTTCCGCCCAGGTGACTGGTGCTGAGGAACTGAGGCCCTGAGGCCAGACCCTAGTGCAGGGGAGAGGGAGGCGGAGCCAGGGGGCTGGGTGGGGCCGGCTGAGTCACAGAGAGGACGAAGGTCACGGTCAGCGAGGAGCAGCCAGGCTGGCTGGTCGGCGGTGCCCGAGGCCGGCTGGGGGTTGGAGGCGGCCCCTCTCCCGCTGGGAGGCCCCGCCCGGCCCCAGCGATGGGTCTGCGGCAGCGGCTATGCCTGTCCCACCCGCAGCCCACAGACAAGCCCACCCACCACGCGGCGGTGTCCGCACAAACCCCAGGACCCGGGGAGCTGGGCTGGAGCGGGTTCGAGTGAGCCCCGCCCGGGCCTGTCACCCCGAGGAGGGGGAGCCAGGACCAGGTCCCTGCCCTGAGGCCAGAGAGGAGGCTGGGGAGGAGGCCGGGGAGGGGGGCCAGGGAGGAGGGGAGGAGGCCGGGGAGGGGGGAAGGAGGGAAGGAGGGGAGGGGGTGGGGAGGAGGGGAGGGGGTGGGGAGGAGGGGAGAAGGCCGGGGAGGAGGGGTAGGGG